CATTTGACATACATGACAAATTGGGAGTTAAGGAAATCTCCCAAATTAATGTACTCAAGGAAAAGAAAATTACATGTATCACTTGGTTTTGAGTAAATGTCCAGAAAACGTAACTTTCTCTGCAATTTGCTGTTATCTCTCCCAGCTTCTTAGGCAATGGTAAATTATGAAAGCTAGAATAATTTTATAACCCTGTGCTGTAGACGAAGCCATGTGCATCTGATAAGTTAGGACTTATCTGCCACCTTCACACATGAGGAAAGTCACCAAGTACACAATTAGATTTCTAGTATCTAAATGAAAGAAACACAGGACTGAATGAGATCTAGCCTCTCTGCAGTACTGTCATAAAAATACGCTGAGCATGCAACTCAGTGGTACTTGCTTAGCATGTGTGAGGCTCTGGGTTCAACACACAGAAAACAACAAATCAAAATGCAAAACACTTTAACTCTTGACTAAGGACTGTGGTCCATGTGTTTTCTCTCTCTGAGGACCTCCTCCAGTGAGTAACCAGATGTCTCAATTTCCATTTTTATAACTTATGACTCACACAATGGACAACTCTACATAGTGTTCTCTTTTGGTGCTCCTTGCTCTAAGCTCAGAAGAGCACACAATGCATGTATAAATGACTGGAGAAGCCAAGTGTACTCCAGGAGGGAGAAAGGAAATTGAGGAAATCATCAATGAACAAGTTCCTTTGAGGAAAATCCTCGACCAGGCTCATATTTGACTTTTTTCTCACTAAAATGTATTGACCCCAGCTAAAACCACACCCATAACAGAAATTGTTATGGCCCAGTTAATGGAGGGATCACAAATATCGACCTGAGGCTCAGTTATATGAAAACATGTATGACAGCAGAATTTCACAACCCACAGGCTTTGAAAAATAAGCATGACTATTCTAGTAAGTATAAACATGTCCCGCAACAATGAAGATGTTTTTGGACTGCTAATGTCCACTGCCGTTAATGTATATCACTGCTGCCAAGACTAAGGATTCAGTAGGATAAATATTAACTATCAACATTACGCTTTTGGGCCGGGGATTTAGCTCAGTGGTTTCACCACCAGCTGCACAAGTGCAAGGACCCAAGTTCAATCGCCAGTACCAAAAAAAACAAAACCAAACCAAACATTACACTTTTAAAACTTATCTGCAAACTCCAAGTTAAAAGAATCCAGTACTCTTTTTCTCATGTATGCTGAACACTCCAAAGACTTTTCCTTCTAATAATGGAATGTTTCCAAAACATCAAGTTGCATCCTCAGTTCATATGGGGAAAGTCTCTAGAAACGCACACTAACTGCCACAAAGCCAGAGCTGCTAAAAGTTGTGCAGTAGTGACCTACTAATTATTAATCACCAATCACTAAGCATGGTATTAATTCACATTCATTCTTCTGGGTTTAGTTCCATTTTACTGGGTACTCATCAGCTTAGGTTGCTCCACATCATATGTGCACTCATGTAATCTGTTTTACTTTCCTCACTGCTTGGACAAAATACCCAACACTCACAAGTTAAAGGAGGAAAGGTTTATTTTGGCTCAGTCTGTAGAACTTTCAACCCATAGCTGGCCAGCTCCAAGGCACAGTGGCATGGTAAAGGGGCACAGCAGAGGAAAAACAGTTCATGGCAGGGCAGACAGAAAGCACCAAGCAGCAGCGACCCTCCCTTCCCCTTTTATTCTATTCAGGTTACAAGCCTATTGGTTGGTGCCATGCACACTCAGGGTGAATTCCCATCATCAACACCTAGAACTATGCTAAACCAATCAGTGGACTAATTTAGTTATCACTCACCTTTAATTCATCTGCACACATCTGAGATCAAGTCACCTCTGAAAAGCCCCACCTATGAGCGCAAGAGGCCTTGGGAGAACATCTAGATACAAGCCATAACATAACCTCAAAGGATGGTTTGTTACATTTTTTCAAGTCAGTTGAGGTTTGACTGCCCTTTTTGCAATTTTACAGTAACTGCCATCATCACCAGTATAATTTATGGTGAGCTACTGGCTAACTCAAGTTTGGAATAATAGAAGTTACAGCAACACAAATCTAGCAATACAAGTTTTAAGAAAAATTCCTAATGACTCAAGTATGAGTCATTCACACACCTTTTGCTTAAGCAGATGCAATGTAACCACAGAGAAGCATGCACTTAATACTATGACATTTCATGGGCCATGTGCTGCCTGTGAATGTGCTGTTCTCTTGAGCCCATTTTAATTACGCTTTCTTCCCACTACTGAAATCTGAGTTAGCAGGCTCTCCACTCTTAACACTCATCCTATGTGACCGACCTGTCTGTATCAGGTAACTGTTGGACTGCTTCTGCCATCCCAAAATAATGCTCTCATCTGACCTGTAGGAGCCCTCTCCTAGCTTTCCTTAAAAAAATTTTATTAGTACATTTTAGGTATACAATATAACAACATTCATCATTGGAAATTTGCACCTTTACATAATCTCTCCTGGTTCCTAGCTTTTTAATTTGCTGGTTCATCACATCCACCAATCCATGTTGGAGGACTTCTCTCTCCTCTCAGTGAACCTATCCAGTGTTGTGGCTTCACATGTCATCTACTGAGATTTTCATTTAGAAGCCTCTGCTCTCCTCCACTCAAATCCCAAATGCCTATTCAATTCACTTGAATGAAGAATGGTATTTCAGATATAACCTAAAACACAACTGAAAGCATCTTCTGGCTTCTCATCTCCATGTTAGCTCCTTTTTCGATGCTCAAGGCCAAAACACTTGGTATTACACTTAAATCCATCCTCTCATCTTTTATCTAACCCGTATGTACATCCTACTGACCCTACCTTTATCTCAAACTACCTCTACTACCACCATCATTTTTCTAAAAGTAGTTACACACATAAATATATGCTTGTATAACGTTTTTTACTCTGCTACCCAGTAACCAAAGTAATCCTTTGAAAAATGTTGTCATGTAATTCTTTAGCTCTTCTTTGCCTGTGCAACCATATTTCTCTACCTCAACGTTTTCCTTTGCCTTCTTGGGTCAGCACAGCCACCTTGTTCCCAGATAGATGTATTCTCTTGGCCTGTAATGGTCTGCCCCCAGATAGCCACATGGCCTACTTCCACTTCTTTCCATTTGTATCCAGATGGCATATTAGAGGCCTTGTCCGACACTATGAAAATTCTTTTTCTACCGTTGTTCTCTATACATGCTACAAGGCCCAAGGCCCACAGCCTACTACAGCCCATGCCTGTATCAAACTTTCCATCAAGTCTTGAGTCACAGCGACATGTGCCTCTGATATGTGCATTAAGCACACATCACTTGTTACTTTCTCAAAATACCTTAATCTGACTCTAGGTATAACCAGAAAAAGATCCAAAATAAGAGGCAGTTTTAGACAACTACCTGAATTCCTCAAGGTTTTATCATGAATTACAATGGTTGGTCATTTGAGACTATACATAACAAAATGCAATGTACAAACCACTGGATCTGGATGGGGAAGAGTAGCTACAGCTATAAAGAATACTGGTGGTACCTATGTGGAATCCAGCTGAGGCAGGGGAGCAAGTTCCAGACAGTCTGGAATACAAAGCAAGTCTCAAAAACAAAACACTGCAGACAACCAGGGAAATAGGGCAGCCAGGCTCACCTCCACAACAAAGCCCTTGCTGTCCATCCTATTTGCTTTCAGACTTTTTTTAGGGCTAGGTTATCAGCTGGGTTTCAACTTACATGTTATTTCAAGGCCTTTCCCAGTATCAGGTTGTTTGGTTTCAACAGAATCGACTAGTCTGAAAATACTTTTCTGCTCATGTCTGAGCCAGCAAGTTGCTTCCTAGATCAAAGCTAGCACTTTTTCCTTCGTTTTAGTCACAAACCACAATGCTTAACTGCCAATTGCAATTTCCACCTAGTACGGTATTTGGGTTTGCTTTCACTCAGCAGAGGGCGCTACTAACCTAATAGATGCCTGAAGGCCATGACCACACTTATGAAGTCACCAGGGTAAATTTGATTGCTAATCACTGGGCTCACATGGCCTAATTAGTAGCCCAAATGAAGGGATGGGAATGTGGTTCATTCAGTAGAACACTCGGCTGGCACATGCACTGGATTTAACCCCCCATACTGCAAAATACATACATTAGACATGTATTCCTCGTCAATCCTGGCTGCCAAAATCAAAAAGCACAAGGCCATTTTTCTTCCACTTAAGAGTGGAAACCTTAACAGGAGACAGTAACTGTTCCAGGTCTGTCAAATAAGTGTACTTCATATTAGTTTATACTCACGGCCTTTTTGGACAATATGCTTTTTCTCTTCTGCCTAACAGATACTCCACATTGTATCTTTATCTTTTAAAACAGAGGCTGGCAATCTTCCGTGATTATTCTAGGACTCACACTCTGCTTCTGCAATGTGAAAAGCCAGAGTCAAACCACATGAGTATGGCAGTGTTCAAAAGAATGAACACAAATTCAAATTTTATGTCATATGAAGCACTCTTCTGATTTCCTCCCAGCCATTTAAAACTATGACCACCTCAGTTGTACAAGAGGTGGCAGGACAGGCCTGTCTGCCAATCCCCATTCTGATTACCAGGGAGTTTGACATCCATTCCGGACTTGGTACTACTTGATTTATATTAAATAAGCTCAGGCAATACTTTGCTTCCAACTGAGTTAGTCTTTTTATTCTTTTGGTAATCTCTTCCAGGGTTAACTACTTCCACTGTAGGTGATGAAATATATAAGGCTCCACTTCAAATGTTGGCACTGCTATGAGCATAGTCTTTTCCCCTTCACTGCAACTCTGAATTATAACTTTGATTCTTGTCTTATATTCCAGTCCCAGTAGTTTCCACTGCAGAAGTTATCTGAAGACAGTCTTAATGCTTTCTAGCAGTGGTCTGTGACCAGCCTCTATCTTCTCCACGAACACTACGATGGATTTAGTTTATACACGTATTAAACTAAAAGGCATTCTCTCAAATGAGTTTAAATGCACTTTATTTTTAGACAACCTACATGACATGTTTTTTTTCCCTAAAAAAACAATGCCTCCGCTCCAAATAAATCACGGTCAAAATAAACGAAGCGTTCAAGATGACATCAGTCCCATTTGTCTAAAATCCTGGTGTTGTGTAGATGACAAGCAGCAGCCAGTTATGACAAGTGATAGATCCAAGGTAACCGCCAAATCCATTACTGTAAAAACAAGGAAGATTACATTAACACTTTTCCCAATTAAGAGCACTGAACTTTTATACCATACAGATGTACTCCCCAATTCAATCTGGGCTGCCATAAAGACAGACAGAAAGCGCAGGGATTATTTCCTTTAGCATCCTAGTGCAAACCAAAAGAACAACAAATTGTTCAAGGTCTATCAGTGGATGCAGGACATCCTTACCAAATCAGAGGTAGAGCATTCTCCACCAGTTTCATCCTGCATCAGGTCCTACTCTTCAGATACTGGCTGAATAACCACCTTGGGGCAAGTCATCTTGTATTATCCTAATTTTTGCTCACTGTTGCCTCTAATTTTGTTCAGTATAACCTTAAAAAGTTTTTCTAACTTATAGAGAATGCCCTAAGGCTAGGATGAGTGCCTTTGTTTTCACACACCCTGCAGCAGCCTGACATTCACTTTTACCAAATATAATTTTACTAAAACAATTTGCATCAGCTCTATTTACCAGACGCTAAATGTCCTAAAGCTTTCAATGATCAGCTGCCAAATACCAGTAAATCTAAGTGAAAAAAATCTGGTACTTTTGCAAAATGTGTGGTAAAATAGGAAAAATGAAAACGAGACCAACCCACTGGGGTGGTGTGATTCAGTGTAGACTGTGATTTCCAATCTACAGCTCAGTATTTAAACCATACTTTACACCATCTACTCAAGTTTTCTATAGAAAACCAAGATGGATTTTTGTACTGTAAGACTCTCACATGTGAATTACAATCCTCTTTAGACCTCCATAGAGGAAACAAAAAGCCACAAAAAAATAGATGCCATGTTTAAAAACTACCCTGGTTATTACCCTAGTGGCACAAAACAATTATGCCTAAATACCTCTATTTGTACATTACTTATTTCAACCCACTTCCTGATACTTACACATTTTTCCATTTCTAAACCATCCTTAAAGAAAATCATAAATGGGGTCACACCATCCTCACGGTAGTCCAGGAGAGCAACCATGCCATCTGGATTCATGTTTGCACCAATAAAGAACTTGGGAAACAAACACTATAATTAGACCATTATACTGAAATATGTATCATCTCAGAGCAAACAAAGGAATCAGCACACACACACACACACACACACACAAAATCAAGAAATTTCAGCTAATACAAGCTCTGATGCCTAAGATTAATGGTCACTCAACCACCAATTCAGATTTATAAAGCACCAATAACAACCAAAATAGTAACAGTGGATCAGAACAACACTTTAGGATTTCTAGATATTTCCATTTTCTTAACTCCACACAAAGATTTTCAAATCCTACCTGCTTAGGTATCCAACAATGGGAACAAAAAGCTATCTATATGCCGGGGATTTAGCTCAGCGGTTTCGCTGCCTGCTGCGCAAGCACAAATAAAGTATATCAGATAGGGAAGTGATCTTATAGCCAGGAGATACAATCAAGCTAGAAAACTGAAAAGCAAGATTGTGATATGTAGTTTCAAAAAAAAAAAAAATCAAATCTTATAGGTAAGGGGAGGTCACTGAAGTTTTCCAGCATTAGGACTATCAAGCTCAGATGTAGCAGAAACACCAGTAGCAAGTGATGACACACAATGAATTGAAAACAAAGCTAAGTCACTAGGAAGTTAAGCAATTCAAGAGCGAAGAACTGAGAACTGTCATTTGAAGCCAGCGGGAATTCTCTTTTTTTTTTGGTACTGGGGACAGACCTTGGGACACTTTGTGCTTGTGAGGCAGGTGGCAGTACCACTGAGATAAATCCCCTGCCCACCAGTAGGGATTCTTTAAAAATCAAAAGACAAGATCTGGAAACACTTAAGACCAGCAGACTACTTTCTCCTCGTGGACTCCAGGTAGAGTATATAAAGTCACAACTTAATTACAGATGATTAATTGACAAAGCTTTTATTCTTATAGCTAAAGAAACTATAATCCTTTGATCCAAATACTAAAATATTTACCTGATAGTTTTTGAAATTAGCAAGGATGTGCTTGATTTGTTCTGCAGCCCCCGTCATAAAAGGCTTTACTCTTTCTGGTCTTTGTTCTTCAAGTTTCCCTTTGATTCTAAAAAAGTATTTTGTTAACAGGTTACTGAAGTATTGGATTTTGAGCAAAATCAATTTTTTCAGTTAAGTAAAAGATACAAGCCACAACTTTTAAAGGTTAACTAGCTGTCAATGAGCAGAATAATATGGCACAATTAAGATATTACTAGTTCACAGAATTGATCTTTCAAGATCATTTACAATCCCAAATATCATAAACAGACTGCATGCTCCGGTATGCTCACATCAGATTGTTACTGACTGAAAAGCAACCATCTTTGTCGAAGTTAAACAAAAAATAAGGCCTTTCCCAAGAACTTCTACTCCTAGAACTAAACATGCCAATCTCTAAATCCTCTAAGAGCCTAGACATCAGCTAGGCATTGCTAATGCCACTTACGATTTCATATAATCTTTGATGTACTTCTTGTAGGCCTCTTTTGTGAAGCTGGTTTCCTGCAAGTGATGGTTCATAACAATATCAACACCAGTGACTACTGTGCTTTCGGTACCGTCGCCCTCCGGGCCTTCAGCAGAGACATTTCCACCAATGAGCGAGTCATCAATGTTACCCTCTGTTCTACTGACCATCTGTAGTAAGAAAAAGTAGTTTACTCGCAAAAGAAAAAACCTCCAAAATATCTCCTATACTAATAGTTTATGCTCGGTATCCATCGTGTTTACACCAAATATTCTTAGTTCTTGTTAAAAACCAGTTTTCCCAGAAACAACCCAACCCACCAATAACTAATTGTTGACCCGAACAAAAATGAGGCTACTACAACGAAGTGGAAGCCGTTCACGGTTGTGGGCCCTAGGGTCGTCACGGGTTAAGTAACAACAGGGTACACGTTGCAGGGTTTGGGGTTCCAATCCGGGACGTGTCCTGGACAGCCGGGAAGGAGGATGGACGCTGGACCTATTTCCAGACTCAGCTCCGCCTCCACTTTTCTAGAAAAACCCAAGCCCGAAGAGCGTCTCCTCCGCCAGAAGGCCGCGGAAAGGATTGCACAACCTCGGGCAGGGGAGCGGCGGAAACCCGAGCCCGCCTGCCTGGCCCTGCCTCCCCGACGCGGCGCCCCGACCGACTCACCTTGCCCTCCACCTCCAGGCACAGCCCGCCCGCGATCTCCCGGATCTTGTAAATGTCGGAGAACATCTCATCGTCTGCTCGGAGACAGAGACCCGGCCGTCACCGGGCGCCGCAGGCCTGGGCCCCGCCATTTCCCACGCTGGCTGGGCGCACGCGGCCCCTGCCCCGCCTCGGGCGCGCACCACATGCAAGGACCCCTCCTCGCCCCCAAGAGGCCGCCAACCTCTCCCAGGCCTAGGACCTCGCCAGGGCACCTTCCCCGCCCCCACTCGACCCCCACCCCCGCCCCAAGTGCGGCAGTAGGGGCAGTGTAGTCAGGACTCACGGCTGATGAGGTCCCGATAGATAATCATGATAATGGCTGAAGGGAGACGCGGCCGCGCTAGCTTAGCAGGAGCCCGGAGCTCAGAGCGAGCGCGGTGCAACCGGAGCGGCGCACGGGGGGAGGGGGGAGCGGGCGGAAAAGGCCGACTCAGCCGCTCCCCAACCTCATATAGAGGGCACGTTTCTTACGTCACTGCGCGCTGCGCCTCCGGAAGCTTCGTAAGCGCTGACGTGTGGCACGTAGAGCGCGCTGGGCGGGGCCACTGAGGGCCCCGGAGGAAGGGAGGAGAGCATCCGGGCACTTAGCAAGGAGACACAAAGCTGCGTTCAGCTAGGTGCCCGGGCGAGTCGTGGGGAGACTGAGAAGGGGCTTGAGGACGGTTCCGGACTCTGGGTGGCTGACGCTATGTCGGATGGGCTTCTCCTCTCCTTACACTGGGGCCGTTTAGGGAGGTGCTGGGCTCGGGGTGGGGCTTAGATGAAATCTCTTCTTGCTACGCCTCTCCCTGCTCAAGTTCCCACCCTTTTCCTAGAGCAGAAGTTTCAGATGTAAGGTGACTCGGTTTTTAGGGTCGGGCTTTTGAACCCTTAAGGAGACAGCGGGGCTTTACACGAAGCTGGGGACAGGAAACGGCTCTAGTCTAGCTTCTCTGATCTCCGAGGGCCTCGGAGAACTTTTAAGCGGCTGCTCGAGCTGCTCTTCTTGGGCCCTTTTTTGGAGCAGAAGTGAGTCCGGTGCTGGGACCCAGGCATCTCGCTCTGCCCGGCCCGGGGAAGGGTCGTGGCTGGCGAAGAGTCTGTGGCCAGGAGCCCGGGGAGGAAAGAAGGTGTCAGGAAAATACAGTACACTGCTTTCCCATCGCTTTCAATTTGGTTCTGTTTGAAGGCTTGTGATGTGTCTGGCGGATGGCGAAAGAGCTCGTCACTGTTTTGCGCCTGGTTTTGAATTATGTCCTTTGGTTTAAAAAGGGATATGTTGTCCCTTTAAGATAAAGTCGAAATTTTACCTTGGTGCTAGAGAGTTAACCAAATAGAAAAATAGGAAGCCTACATTCCAAAGTGTTATTTGAAGGACTTTAGACCCAGTTACAAAGTTAAAAAAAAAAAAATCTTTACACATCCTTAGTTTGAGGCAAACAAGTATGCCAGAATAAAGTCTGGGAGCTTGTTCAGTTCCACAAATATTTTTATGCTCTACTGTGTTCCTAACGCTGGAATTTGTCCGGTGGTCCCAATTATGAATAAGTTGGATCCAATTCTACCGTCATAGGAATTTTCATTCTAGTAAGTCAGCGAAGCAAGCAGTTATTACACATTTACAATTTTTCGTGCGTTCATCAGAATAAGAGCAAGCCTTGTGAAAGAACAGGGCACAGAACAGTATTGGGATGAAGTCAAAATGGCAAAAACAAGAAATGGGAGGCTAGGAAAATGGGTTGTCTGGGGGTTCACTGGACACTTAGAAGACAGAGGATAACTGGAAGGAATCCAAAAAAAAAAGAAAGGATTTGAAAACAAATAGACATCTACCAGATGATCAATGAGGGATCTCTCAAACCTATTATTTCTGAGGTATGTGGATTATTATCCCACATTATTATGTGAACAGATTATTATCCAGACATATGACTTTATCTTTCTCAGCTTTAATATTTTCAAATTCAAAAATATTCTTATTTATACAGAACCTTTCTCTCCAGTTTTATGTCCAAATAAAAGCATTTTTAAAAGTTACATATAAACAGCCATGGTGAAAAAAATGCTTGAGTCCATGGGACCACAAGTTGAAATTTTGGCTTTATCTGTTGCCAGGCCTGTGACTTTTGGCAAAGTCAGCCTACTCGAGCCTCAATATAAAATGGAGTTTTTGTTAGATGAGAAAATGCCTAGCATACCCAACAGTTGATCAATAAATACTGGTAGACTTTGGATGCATATTTCTCCCCAGGTTTTATTACTTTTCAAAATATTCCTAAAATTATTAACGCTCTATGCTATCTGGAAGTATTTGGGGAACTTAGTTGATCTGTGTTGTACTAAAATCCTGTTTCATCACATCCTGATAGTGGATTGCTGAAAGGATTCAACTTGTACCCTTATGAGACTTACCCTTCTTTAAGTTGTGGTTGTGAGGTATTATGTCTCAGTGATGACAGAGTGACTACAACATAGTACAAAATCAACCTTCTGCTCCAGAAAGCTCTGTGGTGAGGAAGCCAGGCTGTGCTTGCTGCTTCTTTCAGTCGCCTGCTAGCTTGCTGTCAAAGCTGGAAAGCTGGAGATGGCAAAGTCCTGAAACACACACAGCAGGGGAACTAGTCCAGTCTGAATGTATCATCTGCCACACATCCAAACTGTATGATTGTGTAGTCAGGGTCATTTTTATGGAGTATCTGAAAGTTCTTCACAGATGCCAGAGTGACCAGCCATGAAGGTTCAGGGCACAAAAGTGGGTGTCTTCGTTCTAGACCAGGGCCTTGTGCAGTTCTCCATGGTTTTGTTTTGCCATTTGGAAAGCAAGCAAGCTCTCGTGGTCATTTTGTGGCTGAAATGGTACCCATTCATGATTTCTGTTCTTCCCTGGAATATTCACAGACTTTCTCTAAGGACCTTTAATTTCAAATACATCTGTTGTAACAGATGGCAGTCGGGCCCTATGGTGTATGGGCCTTCTCCAGCAGATCCTGGGCCTTGAATAGGCTGGCACCATGGTACTGTGAACTTGGTCCCCATGAGGTGGGATTTTGAGTTTGCCCATGTAACTTTCCCCTTCTGGCGACAGTCTCAATACACTGCGTCAGTGGATATCAACTAATTGGATGTTTAGATCTTTTTTTCTGTTTTCTTACTGTGAAAAGAAATACCTTTTGGGGCTAGGGATGTAGCTCAGTGGTGCAGCGCCTGCCTGGCAAGCGCGAGGCCCTGGGTTCGATTCTTGCTAACAAATACAAAAACTTGATTCTCATGTAAGTCCATAAAGTATGTGGGGAAGAGACCTTGCTCCATTCCTTTTTTGTTCCTGGTTATCTGACACTATTGTGATACCTTGGGGAGGCAGGACTATATGCAGAGTCCTCTGAAGTTCTCCACTTCTCCCACCTGGTTCTGTGTCTCCGTCTCTGTCTCTGTCTCTGACTCTGTCTGTCTGTCTCTCCTTCTGCCCCCTCTCCCTCTCTGTTTCCCCCAGCTGGTTTTCAACCTGCTGGGCTGCAGTGCCAGAAGCTCCTGTACCTGTGGTTGATTTCTAGCTGGATGCAGAACTGTTTCTGAATATGGTGATTGAGAACTTAATTTTTTTCCTTCTTCCTCATCATTAATCTCTTCATCAAAGTTCAAACGACCTGAGGTGTCATGTTTTTAGAGAATTTCTTGAAGGTCTGGCTTATAAGCAGAATCCAAAGTGCCTTCTCCATCAATGTTACACTCAGTATCATCCTTTGTAGAAGAAGGGCCTACTGCGAGAGCAAGAAGTTTGATTTCTAGGTCACAAGCACTTTGCTTTAGGAAGGCAGCTGGACCACCAATGCCATCAAGAATGATGTCCTTGCAAGGAGTCTGAGGTTCACCAAAGGCATGTGCTTCTCATTACCTGTTGAACTTAGCTGAAGTACCCTGGCTTCTGGGTTTTGCTGGACAATGAGTGGCTCAAGACACTTCTTTATCTCCTTCTGTAGTAGTGTTTTCTGATTATCTGTTTTCAGTTGTTGAAGCTTCATGCTTTCATCTTCAAAAGAACTGTCCCTGCAAGTTCTGAGTCCCAGTGCAATGCCTGGTTGCCCCAGCTAGGCAAGTAGTCTCCAGGTCCAGAACCCTGGGCCTTATGGAATTTCTGTCCAGGCTTATTGAATGGCTCATGGCAACTCACTGACTACATATCTTAGGAAACTGATTTGAATTTTAGGATCTTTTATAAATATCCTGGGTCTGTGCTATAGCTTAAAAATACCTACTTAGAATATTAGGATTAACTAGTTAGGATAAAATTAGTCACTAATTACAAGCCACTGACAAAATGTCAAAGATTTGGGGATGTGGCTCAGTGCAAAGGCCCTGAGTTCAATCCCCATACCACAAAAAAGAAATTAGAGGGTATGACTTGTCCGTGTGCATCAGGGACCCAGGCTCTTTTCTTCCCCATTCTCCATGTGGTGTATGACAGATGCTAGAACTCCAGCTGGCACATCCTTCTCATAGGCAGCAACAAGAAGAAAAGGACCAAAGTGCTCTATTCAGCTGTGTTTCTCCCTTCTCAGGAGCTCCCCTAAGGCTCCCACTGAACAGTTACAAGGAGGCAAGGCATGTGGTTCCATGGAAGGCAGCAAACTGTAGTCTTCTATTTCATTATCACTGGCTCATTGCCACACTAAATAAAATCAAGACTTTGTCATCCAGGAAGAACATAGGCAGCTGGTCGTCCCTGCTGTGACCACAGTGCAAAGGGTCTGGTTCTCAGCTTGGAGGTGATCACTTTGTTCCCTGGGGGTCAGGATCAGGGAGACTGATCAGGGAAAATAAGGAATTAGGCAGAGGGTTTGGGGATGCAATGTATGATTGTGACCAAAGGTGGCTAGGAATAAACCTGCCAAGCTGGATTATTCTGGTGTGTAGTCTGAATCCTTTCACCTTGAGTTATATGTATTTTTTGAGATATGTGAATGAATTCTTACTGCTTTTTTTCTAGACTGTGCTGTCAACAAATCATTACTTTGTTCAAGTTATATTATTCCTTCCTTTACAGCAGAGCTTCCCCAAATAATTTTCTATGGAGATGGAAATGTCCCATATCTGTTCTGTTTAGTCCAATAGCCACTCACCCAAGTGGCTACAGAGCACTTGAACTGATGTTAGTTTGACTGTGGAACAGAATGTTCACTTAATTATTTTAAATTTATGCATGTCTGTATGAGATAGCACATCTCTATAATGTAAACTCAATGAAATCAAGCACTTTGGGTTTGTTTTCTTTGTTTTTCTTTTGTAGTGGGGATCAAACTCAGGATCTTGCACTTGCAAGGCAGGCGGTGGCACCACTGAGCTAAATCCCTGGCCCTTGTTTTCTTTTTTAATCATTCTGGGGAATAACCCAGGGCCTTTGCACGGAGGTATATGCCCAGGTACCACCCTCCACCCTTTTAATATCTTGCCAAGTCACCAACTTGCCAAGGCTGGGCTCAAATTTGAGATCCTCCTG